AAATATCTCAGACAAATACTGATAGTCTGTATTCCAACTTGGAATCTGTCCTTCCAAAAACCTCTAGTTCGGTGTTAGAAACAAACAATTCACCAGAGTTCCTTTCCAACTTACACTTTTTGGCTAATATGACCCAAATATGTGATAGGCTGGGTCTCAACAATAAACAATTACTTTCAGACTTGCCAGTCGGTGCAACTAGTAGTGGTGTTGAACCCGATTTACTTCAACAACCACCTACGTTGAATCAGATACAGCAGAATCTGAACTGGAGCCAAAAGACTACCCAAAAAGTGTACCAACCGTTCCAACCTGTGCTGCAACAGCAATCAGACTTTATGTTGCCTAACCAGTTACTGCAATCTCAACAACATCAGCAACAACAGCAGCAGCAGCAGCAACAGCAACAGCAGCAGCAGCAGACGTCGTTTATGCCTGCTAATTCGAGCAATTTTAATCTAACTGGTAACAGTGCGTTTCCAGCGTTAAACTTAGATCTTAACCCTCAATTCAATAATCTCATTTATCCTAATCCATTAGTGCCGCCTCCTAATGGTCTGTACCCCTATCAACACCAGACTAACATCGAAAGGTTAGCCAATCTATCGCTTGGGCAGGATAAAATGAATTTCCCCATGTATAATTTGGTCCAGGACAAACAGACACGACTTAATGACTCGTCGTTTAATTCTGTCCGAGAACCAATGAAACAATCCAAGCCAGTGCAGCCGAATGTGTTCATGCCCAACACACTGCCCAACTCTTACAATTTCAACATCGATCCATCCCCTCCATTGTTTCCTGCCAACCTGTTTTATGCACAGATGCCTCAAGATGTGAACTATGTGCAATCTAACCAGCAGCAGTTCCACAACTTTAAAGAGCAAAACGTGCAACACATGTTTGGCAACCAGAAATTGGATCATCAGGTTCTCAGAGACAAGATGTTGAATGTGGGCAATCCATATTTAAAAGATTAATGAATATGTAGTCTTATCACAAAACGTAATATTAATACGTCATCTAGTCAATGAAAATACTTAGGTTTTGATACCTCGGTAGCATTGAACCCCAAGTATTGTGTAAGGTACAGTGTTTTATTTTTGCTTCAATTTTTTCCCACCAATTTCTCCTAGTGTGTGATTTTTTTTTTTTTTTGGCAATAAATACTTTCAACCCATCTTGTTTCGATATTCGTATCGAATATTAATTGGGTATAAAAAGAATAGTGCAAATGTTTTTTTCTTTTTATTGTAAATTTATATTTATCATTGAGTAACCAGTGTACATTATAACGAATTATTCGGTAAGGACTTTAGAACCATTGTACGAATATTTTATTCTCATTATTATTAATACATTTTAAACGACACATAGTTATTGAGCCGTATTTTAATGTTAATTAATAAGTATAGTTTGCTAAATATAGCAAAGCATCACTAAGTAGCAATACAAATGTATTTATACTACTCATGGGTAACAATACCCACAATGACCTACGGATGTTATCACTTATTGATTTAAATTTATAACTTAATGACAGGGACGCCAGATGGTATATTTACAGAGAAAATAATTTTTAAAGACCATGATTAAAGCTAAAGTAGTAAATACCATACGTTATTAATACATTTATTTTTGTCGCTAATGACATAATTAATTTTATTATCTGCGTATTGTATTAACCTGTGGTACATTGTTATGATTTTATGAATATACATTATACATGTTCGAGCAAAACGTAATATATTGGTGAATCGTGTATATGAATAAAATATTATGATAGTATAATTTAGACCAAGGTATGAAAATAAAAAAATTGTCGAACAGCAAATAAAGGAAATAGGTAATTAACAAATTTGGATTGAATTCTAGGCGATGAGCATTGGTTTTCAATAATTATTATGTGCATATTGTAAATAAGAAAATTGAATTTCTTTGACATAATTAATTTTGTTGTCATACTGATCATTAATGTGTATTTTAATGACTAGTAAACTACTTCTTTAAAGGCGTCCCTGCCTATAAATAATGTATATTACCTGCAAAAATAATCTATAAATATAATGGATGAGTTAATGAGGTAAAAATAAGTAAGTGCCTAGTTTCTTTTTAAAAATATTCTCAATACTTAAAATAGTTATAACTTATAATTTAAATATTCTTTTCACACTCCCAATAGCTAATTTTGTAATTATTTATTTAACATTAATATAAATTTGGGATATATTATTATTAAATAATAAAATAATTAGTTGATTATTAGTACTTTGCACTATGCAGAAACCAAAATAAATCATTTTTCATGTTACATATAAGCATCTAAATTTCTATATGAATAATACACAATATATACATGGAAAAATCTAAGAAATACTTGGGAAAAACGTGAACCATCCACAATACTTAGGCAAAATATCTTATTTTTAAAAAAAATAAATACATTTATAGTCTTTATGTCGTAGCAACGTTGAAAAGAAACCATAAATTAAAAATCAATCATGATAGGTAACGATAATCAGTAACTGTTAATAACAGGTAGGTATATACATGGAAATAAAATAAAATAAAAATATGAACAATGATAGCTGGTCAAAATATTTATCATGATTATTATACATCTAGATTCTAGATAATATTGGGACGTCCGACGTACCTTAGCATTTTATTATTTTGCCTCGTATACCTATGTTACTTTAATTACATTTACTATAATGTGCAGTAGTCATATTATCATAAAAGATGAATTACTCATTATTTTTTTAACCATTGATGTTTTTAAGAATGATATTGTTATAAATATTATAATTAAATTTAATATATATATAAGTTCTTTTTTATATATTAAATATGTAAAACTGTTAAATCAATTGGTACTTAATATGAACAGTACCTATCTAGCGAAATCGATATAGGTACCTGGAGGCTACAGGTGATGGTATTTTGCGCCACAGTTACAAATACTGTGTCACTTAGTAGAGTATAGATCTCACTTCAAAATATGCTTGCAAATCATAACATTTATGATTACCCAAATTTTACCATTATTATCACTTTTTCGGCGTATTAAAAGAATTTTAAATAGAAACTTTAATTAAAATTTCAAGTTAAAATATTATAATATTAAAGTAGGTATCTAAAAAAATAATGACATTTGTAAATATATATATTTTTTTAGTTCTAATATGAGTTATTTATGAGGTAGGTATCTTAATATATTAAGTTACCACTTATCATGATTTGTACGCATGAACAGATATGTAAAATATTTTAATATTTAAAAATCCTCATAAGCATAACCTACTTATAAATTAAAATATTGTAAAAACCAACTAAGAACAGAAATAATACCCACTCAAATTTGTATCCGCTTTGGATGCTACACCCGCATTTGTTTCTGTCTTACAAATGCATAACATGGCAAATCTACGCTCAGTGTTCACATTTAGCTTCGTTACAGTTAATATTGTAGTAAATCGACCTATTATAAAACTTAATGGTAATAACTATCAGTTTTAGTATGGAGGCTTTTGAAGATAATTCTGTTTATAAACGAGTTATGAATATTTTTAAATTGCATTATTTTGTACATGTAATACCTAATCGAATTATCTTTAAAAATATGCAAACAAACACAAATCAAGTTTCATTATAGGTTAATTTACTCTAATATTAAAACCAAACGTGAACGTCGTGAACTGCTGGTTCGAAGCCCTTTATCAAAGCGTTAACTAAATTAGTAAATAATTTATTTAAAACTAATAGTAACTTACTAATCTGATCAAAAAGTTTTTTCGTTAACTCGTCTATGCATATTTACACTATATTGGCTTTCAGAGGTAAATTTTAAAATTTAACCGGGGAAATATCCCCAATTATTTGCTGTTTTTATGTTCCGTTTCATCGGACTAACTAGTAACTACTAATTAGTGTAATTACTATTTACTGTGTAAGCTATGGTCATAACCACCCTGTTCTAAAATGATGCGCTGCAATGATCCAACATAGCCGTACATAACCACATTCTGCACATTGGCGTAGAACTAAATTTTTTAAAGAGTTTGGAATTCAAAAAGTATACTTACCCGCTCTAACAAATAAAGCCATGAAGCAGATTTCCCTCCACGCTCCCTATAAATCACTTTAAAAAAATAATTTATTATCAGTATTTAAAATCAAGAAGTCCTCCTGCCATACAATAGCTTTCAAGTCTATTGTGTCATTGAATTATTCAGTATAATGTACGGTTTAAATCTGAATAATATATAACCGATTTCTTCAAAATTTGAACTTCAAATGTCTATAAGAAATATTATTATTTTCAATATTTTTGAACATTAGTAAGAATCCGAACATTCAGCGTTTAACTATAAATTATAACGTTGGTAGGCTTACCGTTTACCAATATGTAGCAAGCTACATACAGTCACAATACTAAAACATAAGTGTTATAGAGTATAATAGGTAGATAATAAATTCTAAAATACCAGTAAAATCCAAATGTAAATATTACTCCAATAGAGCGTGACTATGTTCAGCAATCAACCTCCACCCATTATACTGTCGCTCACCATCAACCTATCTGTCTAATCAAACAAGGTGGGCAATTACCTCTCTTAATACTTAGGTTTAGGCTACACTGCTAACACCCTTGTAACTAGCACTAGCAATCAATATAAATAAATATTGTTAAATTGTATATCTTAGGGCTTAGGCTCACAATTGTAATATATATAAAATATAAATACAAACATTTATCAATAAACACATTATATTTTATTACCTATTAATATAACTTTCAATAGATATTCAAATGTAAAAAAAAATATTTAAAGTTAATATGTAATATATTACAAAGTAAATTATGTACAGTAGGATTATTAAACATTTAAAACCTTAAAGGTAGATTACTACTTCAAAAATATAATTATATTTATTTATTTATTATAATGACATATTTATTATATATATATATATTTATTATAACAACAAAGGTGTATTTTAAATGTCATAGTAGTTTTGTTATTTAGATGCCCATGTAAAATTATATATCTGGTTTAGTAAAACTATTTTGATTAGCATATTCCTGAGATGATTCACATATTCAATTTTGATTACTTGTTTTTTTCACATTAAAACTCTGACGATTATCATTATATTTGTTGTTATTTTGAATTGGAGAACTTAATTGAAATGAATAATTCATAGATGTATTTAAATTTCTATAATATTCATCATAATTTATGACACTTGTTTGATTAACATCACCACATAGCCATAATTCACAAAGATGACTAGTTGAGCGTAATATTAATACTATCAATGATATATGTTTTAAGCTAATGCTAGGTTCAATGGGACCACTTTGAATAGCCAAATACTTATAATATTTAAATGTTTGATCTATAGATTTGAATCCATCTTCTAAAGAACTGTACAATGAGTTTTGCGTGAAAAACATACAAATGATCACTTCATTATTAACATTGTATGTTGTTATGGCCCCAGGGTTTAACTTCTTATTTTTAACGTCTTTTAATAAACTATAAAAATTAAATATAATTAATTAAACATATTTAATGATATTGTTGTTTTTTTTAAATTTTAAAACTGAAATTTCATTATCCCAAAACTTATCAGAAAAATAATGAAATATGATATGACATGTGGTTAAATGTGTCACTAAGATAGTTGTCATAAAGAAAAACTAAACGTTTCATTAAAGTTAAATGCTAGCTTTATTTTAAAATGATGTTCTACTTAGCTATGGAAAAATTAAAAATTACAATCTGTAATGAAATTTTTAACTATTAACTGCTACATTAAGACCCACATACACTGCGCTAGTATAATAAATAATCTACCACTAACACAAAAATATTACAATAACAATAAAACATTTTGCCACAGATTAAAAGTGTGAAGACCTTAAAACATTTAAGCTTATTTCATTGTTTTATGACAATATTGTATCTTAAATAAATATAAAAAATATGCAGTGTATGTTATATAGGTATCACATGTTTTTGTAAACGCCAAAAAATACAGTGATATCTTTGGTTTTTTCTTGTTTTTCTACAAGAATATGTCACATTTATTTAGTAATATATTATTATTATAAGAAAAATATGTAACGTAACATGAATCAACATTTTTGATCATCTTACAAACTATATTTTCACTTTGTAACGTTAGAACTATTCATAAAATAAATAATTAATTGTTAATTAATTGTATTTTAGTGAACACATTTTCATGAAATGGATGTCTATCGTATTACGTAGAACATCATTATTTTGAATTAACTTTTTATTATTAAAAATTCTCATCTTAACACAGCACTACAGCAGTGATCCAGAGACTTAAAAATAATTTGAACAATTAAACCAAACTTACCTTATAAAATTATACCTAAACAATTTAATTATACTAATATGACAATAACTAATATTTTTCTTTATAATTAAATGAATCTTACAACTATATTATATTAATTTATATCTTATGAAAGCTATGAGTTGGATTTAATTAAATTAAAATATAAATACTTTTCTTTAAACGGATATTTAGTGTCCACTTTATTAACTACATAGTCTTCCCAATTATTTTTGCACACTTTTTCTAAATCAATAAATAAAACAATGGTGGTTTTGGATTCCATATCCCATAAATTATTTGGTGTAATGTAAACTTTTAATCTTTGTAATGTTTTTGAATCTAATAACTTACAATTATTTTTATAATAATAAATATCAAATTATTTAGTAATTAGTGGTTACTTATTTTTATTACTCACTTTTGAAGGTACACATACAGTTATGTCTATACCAGATCCAGAAAATATATCAATGATGAGATCTCTCGTATCAAACCAATCAAGTTTATCCAATCCACAACCAATTTTGGGTATTCCTAGTTTCGTTAAATTTAAGTTTTTCATTTTGGTAAAAAGTGAACGAAGAGCTTTTTCCATTGTATTCATTGTAGGTTTACCATAACTATACTTTTTTGTTACCAAATATAATGCATATTGATTATGGCGTTGAACTACACCAACATCTCCTACTTTTAAGTTTTGATCAGCTAATTTACCAATACCACCAAAGATACGTCTAGAAAATAAAGTTAATTACTTATAACTCAATATAATCCATAAATATAAGACGTTTTTACTTGAATTCGACAGCTATGCCTGCTCCCATTCGTAAATCTTCAGCAATACAATGAGCAAGAGAATAATCTTTTGGTAATTTGAAAAGGTCTTCATCGATTTCCTTAATAATACTTGTTAAATAACAATGGAAAAATTTTAATACATTTTAAATCATTCATATATTATAAACAAAAATAGAATTTAAAAAAAAAATTAATTATTGATGTAACTATCATACAATAATCATAGTTTTAATTTTTTTCTTTTAATAGAGACTAATGACAAGTTCAACATTTAAACAAATATTGAAGTAAAATAAATTGAGTGATAAGTTTTAATAAATTGACAACATACCAGCCTTTAAGATTAATTAATGGTTTCTTATGTAAATCAATGTTTCTATCTTGCACTTCATTTTGTTTTAAACTATCATCAGCACATATTTCATTCTTTCTCTGCTTTTGATCATTCTTTTTGCTGTACGTACCTTGATAACTACTTTTTTTTTTATTGTTTTTAGAACTCCTAATTTAAAATAATATAAAATATTAATGATTTTATTACTGTTATGAATGCTGATTGTAATGCCTATTTAACAATTTAAATAATTATTTAAGAGAAAAAAAAGTATTAATAATTGACAATATACCTTTTTCCATCAGTATTTACTGATTTAGGTGTATCCTCATAAGAATGACAGTCGTTTCTATTATATGATTTTGTCTGATTATATTTATCAGCACTAAAACTTTTGTCAGAAAATTTGCTTTGATTTTGATCACTTTTACTACAGTTTGGTTTTTCACAAACATTTTCATGATCAAAAAATTGATTTTTTTTTTTGTTATTAAAACTCGATCTATTCAACATTATAGAAAATATTAATGATTTAATAAAGCTGATCACATAAATATATTTCAAAAAAATAATTCATAAACTATTGTGATTATTTAAGTGAAGTATTATTTTATGATATTATAAAATGTAAACATCATAATTAGTTTCTTATTTTTAATACATTTTAATAAATATACATATTACACATAAAAACAAATACTTAAATAATAGAAAATAAATATTAATAATTGACTAAATACCTTTCTCCATCATTTATCGATTTATGTGTATCATGCAAATCTGTGTTTTTTCTATCATTTCCTTTTTTCTGAATACATTTATCAACAATGAAATCTCTATCAGAATTTTTTCTTTGATTTTGAACTCTTTTACTATGATTTTGTTTTTCATTATTAACACATCTATACAAAAAAATATAAAATATTAATCATTTTATTACTATTATGATTTATGAATATTGATTGCAGCATTCATATATTTAAATTAAATAACTAAAAAAATTATTTATAACTATTAAGATTATTAATATTTATTTATTATAAATTATAATAATACATATTCATATAATGTATTATTGTAATTAACATTGATTAATATCTAAAATATCTAAAAAAAATTTGTTTTTCTAGTTATATCAAAAAATAAAATTGATTTCATTAAAAACAGTTTTACACAAAAATGCCTGTCTTAGTTTATCCAAAAGTACCAACTAGATCCAATTTTCTATCAGAAACCATACTCAAAGATAAATATTGAAACATATTTTCTACTAAAAATGTGTATGCACATATAAAAAAATAACACACATCACTGTAAAATTAATATATTCATTGTACTGCTTAGAATCTAAAATATTATAATAATGACGAAAATATCAGATAATAATCATTATCTGAATCTTATTATTTTTTTTAATGACATCATGCAAAAATAAATGCTAAATTAAGGAGACATATAAAGAATTTAAATAATTGACAATTTACCCTTCTTTATCGTCGTCATGGAATGATTTACATACTTCTTTTTTATCTAAATCATTTTTAAGCCAATTATGTATATCATCCAGTTTTGATGTACATTTATAGGAATATTTTTCACACATTTTGTTTTTAGAACCTTTCTGATCTTTACAAAAAGATTGATTAACAGCTTGTTCTTCATAAATGTTCTGACTAGTTAAAATAATATAAATATATTAAATATGAATGATAAAATTTTAATTTTTAATTATATTATTTATTAAACATTAGTTTTTTCAAATCAACCTTAAGAATAAGATTTGGTGTAAGATTGTTAACACAAATATGTCACACAATAAATTTATTATTTAAAATAAAATTTAATACACTTCTAGATAAAACAAGGTAAAAATGCATGGCAGTTATTTGTAGTTATATTTATTTTTCAAATTATTTTAAATACTTATTGCTTTGAAAATCATCAATTTACTTATTTATTGTATCATAACATTAAATCGAATATACCAAATAAGTAAATAATATTTAATGTTAAAAAAAAGTGCTTTAGTTTTTTTTTTTATATATTATTAGGTCGTATTTCAAAATGTATTAATTTAAATTTACGATAAAAATGTTTATGACTTAAAATTTTCTTAATTACTAGTATGTAGTTAAATGAGTAGTGAGTCAAAAATATTAAATGTTATTTAATAATTAAAACTTATGAAGAACTGTTTATAGTTTATTCAGAGACTCCAACAATATATCCCACTCAAGAGTCATAACATACCTAAAACCTGCCCCTAATGAGCCCCATGTTATAATTAATACACATGCGCCTACTGATAGATTAATTATATTCTGTCTAGCGAAAGAACACGCCACGGCCTAATAACATATAGTTTTCCTAAGCATACTCAATCGACAAACTGTTTTTTAGACCGAATCAACTACGGTGAGATTGTCACATGAGAATGTGCAAAATTGGTATGTTCTCTTGATAGTTATAACTAATGTAGTATACTATTTTTTTTTCATTTAATAGTAAAAATGTTCAATATAAATAATATTATGTATAGATATTATATACAAAAATAAAATATAATGAAACGATTTCCTCCAAAAGCTAAGCTTAGTTTGTAGAAACAAAACTTAATTAATTTATGTTAATAATTTTTTTAACAATTTATAATAGATCAAAATTTATTTATTTATTTTTTTTTTACTTTTTATAATTTTTAATAAGATTAATATTAATATAAGTTACTTAAAATACTATTAATTTAATTTTTTTAATTATTGTCATTTAAATAATTCTGTTTGTGAGTAATCAATGTCAATGCTAGAATGAAAAGAGTTTGTTATTCAAATTCTATAATGAGTATAATGTATAAACAATACATTAGTTTATTAGTTATTACATATTGTACAAAAATTTTTCTTAAATTTAACTCAATGAAAATCTAAACATAGTAAAAAAAAATAATTTTTAGACTATTCCATATCAATAAAATAAATAAATTAAATAATTTAAAAAATATATCATTATGAACTTTAAGAAAGTTATTTACATTATGAGACTTTAATATTATTAAAAATTAGGAAACCAGTTTTTAATATTTTCAAAACTATTATCAAATTATACGACCTAATTATATAAAAAAAAATATAAAGCAATAATTTATAATACTGGTTAGCAAACACAAAATTTATTATAATTACTTGTAAGCAGATAATGGTGATTCTAATAAACTATCACATTGATTGATTTCTTTATCTTCACCTTCAGTTTTACATGGTAAATTTAACAAAATGATATTCTTTTTTTTTTTTTTCTTATTGAATTTGGCAGATTCATTATATTCATTTTTAACTTCTTCTTTATTCCTATAATTATAAGAGATGTAATGAGAAGGGTAAAGAAAACTTGATTGTACAATTAATGTTTGTAGAGCAAGTTCTTTAGAATAGTTTTTTTTTTATATCAACATTTAATAAAACAACAGTAGGATATATAAATTAATAAATCATTAACAAAAAAAGTTTAGTAAATATTTTTAATACCTAACATAACATTGTTCACAAAAAATGTATAAAAAATAATGCTAAAGGCTTTAATTATATAGCAAAACCTCAATTAATGGTAAAAATATTAAATAGCAGTAATTAAATATGATAGTTCAAAAGAAAATTATTCTAAAATAATGTATTTATTGATTACTAAAACATACTTCTCTTTTAAAGATTTTTTGTCTTGTTTCATTTCTTCAACTTGATTTATTTTTACATCATTTTTTATGTTATTTGTTGATTCTAATTTATTCCTAAATACATTTAATACAAATTTAAATATATATTATTGTTTTTATAAGTATATTTTATAAAACCAAAATTCTAAAATATGAATTTTGAAAAAAAATAATAATTAACATAATAGTTGCTGTAAATTAAAAATAATAATCATTTAAATAAAATACAAGAGAATTAAGTTATAAGAACATAATATTTATATAGCATTTTATTATCTAAAATATAAAAATAAAAATTGTGTATTACATCTTACATATTTCAGATTATAGACTAAGAACTATTGAAATATGTAAATTAATGATTTTTATTTAATTTAATTTACATCTATCTGAATCATTTAATGATAGTATAATGTTAATTAATTAATTTGTATGATTAGTTTGCCTAGCTTAAAGTTTAAAATTTAAATATTTTATTTTTGCCTTTAGGTAAATAATATAAAAGTTTTCAAAAGAAATTGAATATGCATCATTATACACTGGCTCTTGAGTTTATAACAAGTCAGATTATTTTGCTGGTATATCTTGTATACCTCTCTTGTAACTTTTTAACTGATACGATACATTTAGTACTCTGAAACTTCTTCCTTGTATATTTTTAACTTTTCAATTTATAAGAACATTAAAATAATGCCAATTTAGTATACTACAAAATAATAGTTATTTAAAGTCAATAACAACATATACTTCGCTTCATGATAGAGAACACATATGGCTTGCGCACAATAATGACATACACAATAATATGCAATTCCCCAACGGCACAGCAATAGTTTTGTTTGAGAATGTGTATTACACTAGATAAATTAATTTTATTTGTTTTTGATCTGATTTGTTGATAAAAATGTACTATTAAGAGTATTTTTTGGTAACTGTAGTTAATTTTAATATAAAAAAATTTTTAGATAAATTTTAATGCATTTTGCTAACTTAAACCAATAAGCCATGTTATAATACAAAAGATATATAAAATAATATTTTTAACATAAAAAAAGATATTTTTATTTGTAAATAGTCGATGAATAAAGTAAAATATAAGGTAGAAATAAAATATTATAATAGTATAGTATAAATTACCTTTTAGTTTTAGAACTTTTCTTTTTATCCATTTTGATCAAAAATTAGTCTTTACTAGATTAAAAAAAAAAATACATACAATTATTAGTATACTTCAATCAGAATTATTAGTATCGTAAAATAAACATAGTAAGTAGATATTTTATTTATTCTTAATAAAATAGAAAAAAATAGATGGGTAAACATTTGTCATTTATTAGACATTGAGTGACTATAATGTTTGGGTTTATTTATTATACTTAATAGTATTGATTTTATAATATATACTTAATCAATTTTATTGTTAAACCTATATTAATAGAAAAAATTAATTTAGTTATTGTATTAAAGATATTTTCAAGAAGCAATAATCATCGCCACAAAAATATTGTAAATGTTATAAATAAAGCAAGGATTTTTATGCATTAAAAGGTATCAAAATATGCCATATAATATGTAGTAAAAATCATAAAAAGAGCAAAAAAAATTTTTTTTATTAATTTAAAATTCATAAATTAAATAACTTATAATAACTAATTATTACTTAAGTACTTAATGAAAAATTTTTGTTTTAATATGCAATACATTTTAAATTTTATAAAAATATTCAAAAAAAAATTCACCATTAGATTCAATTTATTTTAATTCATGAAGATAACTGACAAAAATTCAAAAAAGTGAAAAGGTAAAAAATATGTGATCAAATAGAAATTTTAGATCTAGTAATGAAGTACCTATTAAAAACAATTTAAATACAAAATTACTCAATATAAAATTTGAGTGGTATTTTAAAACAAGCAAAATAAGTACCAACACTGGCTATTTATTCATCTATAAAAAATACAACTGTGAATAGTACGTAACATTTGATTAAAAATCACATAAAATATTATAAACCAACAACCATCAACAACTATATTATCTATAGGTACTTACAAATTCGGTAACAAATGCACGATATATGATCCCAAAAAACTATTATAAGTTTATAAAATTATAAAAGTAATTTAATTACAGGAAAAATGATAATTATTCGACAATGTGATCAAAAATTTGTCGACTTGAATGTTTCGTAGTTTATCGTAATGAAACTAAATAGTAAATAAGTATATAAAATATTCACTACGATTAAAAATTGTTTATTACTATCTTTAGATATGACTATTACATTCACTAATTCTATATTAAAGATATCTATAACCTATCAACGTTGTTATTCGTTAACAAATGTCAATAATACATGTCGCATGACTAAGTTATTTTGAAATGATATACCTATTATAATGTCTATTATAGTAAATATATTATCATTTATCAATAATCAAACAAAAATGATTCGTTTGTTTAACGATATGTAATAAATAACAATATAATTATATAATATAATATGGTATATTGAGAATTGAATACATTTTCATTTGATTTTGTTTCAACCATAATAATACGATCATAGACTATAATAATTTTCTATTACGTGACAAGTCAAATAATTCGACATTTCGATTTACGTCATTATTTTTATCTTTATAAAATACAAATAGGTACGCCATGCCATTATTATTAATTTTCATTCAAAAGAAAATATAATTTCCAAAATTTCCGACGTTTAAAGTTTAAAACACTGTCTTATGCGTCATCTAATTATATATATATACAGTAGAAGCCGCTTATTAGAAACACGGATAATTGATACAATCGTGTTATTGAAACAAAATGTCTCGGGACGGATCGGCCGTATATTAGAACATTGAAAATAAATCGGATTATTGAAACATCACATCGGTTATTTGAAACAATTGGGAGAAGGTCAGTTGACATATACACCGATTATCTAGCGATAACCAATGTACTTCAATTTTATCTTTGCTGTCGTTACGTTTATTTTTACTGTAATTTATCGCGAGAATGCTCTTTCTGTACGTACTGGTCGTACCGTTTGTAGTTTAGCTTCAGCGTGCGTATGTAAAGATTATTAGTGTTTCCTTTTTCTAAAAATCTAAAAATGTCTAAACGCTAAGATTTTAGCCAATTTTCATGCGACCATTCGTGGTTTGAAACTCATTTGACCGATTTGCTAGCCCAATACACACGCTCTGATATTTTCAATGCGGACAAGACTGGGCTTTATTTTGGAGCTCTACCTGAACACACATACGCACTCAAAATAAGTGACAAAGCTAAAGGGGCAATGTTACTCGTATGAAAATATGGTCATGGAGTTACTCGACGTAAAAAAACAAATTACGAATGATAAATATTTTACATAATATCGTAAAATATACACAATTGTGCATACTTTTTTAAATTATACAATATAGGTACATACATACATACATATTTTTTTCGCGTACCTATTATTCATTTTTTTTTTCAATCGCTTATTAGAAACAATCGGTTAATTGACACAATTCACCTTGGTCCCAAAGTGTTTCTAATAAGCGGCTTTTACTGTATATATATATATACTGTTAAACCGTGTAATGGAGTTGATTGTTACTACTTATTACTTGTTATGACTTAATAATGTCATATGCGTTGAATTTTCAATGTCGACTGTTATTTCTTAATTTCTTATCAAGACCTGTCTGGACTTCAGATTTCAGAATTTGGACTACCATTAATATAACTAATTATTGTTTAGAATTGATACTTGGTGGACATTAAACAACTTACAGACACGGCATATTAGGATGCCGGCATTCTGAATTAATTTTAAGTATGAAAGATAATGAAAATTTACATGGTGAAACATAAAACCATAGACCACAGATATGTACGTTGTAGTATTGCTACTGCACGACGCACGTCATACATTTGTACATAATCTATAATCACGTGCTTAGAACCGTAATCTTTATCAATATGTACAATTGCCATAGTCTTATTTTATAAGTTATAAATTACAAGTTATATTATAAATGATATTATATAATTATGAAAAATGGTTTAATTAATTTATATAATATACAAGTATCTACGCCTCTACGGCTCATGGTAGAATCACTAAAATCACATTCAACTTTTGACTTATTTACTATAATAAGCGAAATTGCGAAATGGAATGCGCCAATGTGGGTAATATTTGATTAATTTGAATAAGGCGACAGCCCGAACCCGATAGGTATTAGCCATTAGGTATCAGCCACAGCTATTAGTAATTATTTTGTATATTCTTATCAATTTTGGACAATACAAGACGACATCATCGTACTTATAAAGAGTCTTTTATTTTGTAAATATAATAATAATCACGGCTATAAATATATTTAGCCATGATAATAATATTATCACAGAAAAATATAATAGAAACTCCTTGGAATTAAATGAATTTGGGCTTTTTTTTTAAAAAAATTAAAAATTTACTCTCAGCTTAAAATTTTTAAAACTAAATGATTTTATATTAATAACATTAAATTAACTCTTAAAACTTCTCTTTTAGAGAATGTTGCCAGGCATTGGTGTTTTTGGAACAGGTAACTTTTTTAACATAAAATAGACATTTTAATTTTAAAAAAATTGGTTTGAAACATTGAATAATAATATTGTTCTTTTAAATTGCTTTAGATTATGGTTTTATTTTAATATTAATGATTAATTTTTAACTAAATTGATAATTTTATATATTAATTACCATTAAAAGGACAACCTTAAAGTTTATCAGATTTTTTAGTGATGAAAATTTACAAATCATGTATATATTATGATTAATTAATTAGATAATAATAAGTATTCTACCTGTAACTAATACATTTAAATGTCAACAGGTAAAGTTATTGAAATAATCGTACCTTTTTTGCGTGATAAGGGTTTCAAAGTAGAAGCACTATGGGGACGTACTATGAATGAAGCTGAAGAAGCTGCAAAACGTCTTCAAATTCCATTTTGGACCAACAAAATTGATAATGTGCTCCTAAGAAAAGATGTAGATTTAATTTTCATTGTATGCTCTCCAAACCTTCATGCACAAATAGCTGTCAAAGCATTAGGTATTGGGAAACATGTTCTGTGTGATAAACCAGCTGGTTTATGCCAGAGTGAAGCTATTAAAATGGTACATGCTGCTCAATACTATCCTTCACTTATATCAGTTGTCAATCATAGCTTGAGATTTTTACCAGCATTTGTACAAATGAAAAAACAAATTGTTGAAAATAAAATTGGAAATGTGTTTTTATGTGATATCAAAGTACAAATGGGTCGTTTGTATGGAGATAATTTTAACTGGTTATGTGATAAAACAATGGGCGGTGGAGTCTTAACTTTAGTTGGGAGTCATGTAATAGACTTGGTTACTTACTTAACTGATCAAAAAGCTATCCGCGTCCATGGTATTGTTAAAACATTCAATAAAGATTTTAAGTGTACAACTGGTGTTAGGCAAGTTACTAGTCCAGATTTTTGTACTTTTCAAATGGAAATGACAGACAGATCTTTAGTTACAGTTACATTAAACAATCACCTTGCTGGAACTTATATACAAGAAGTGCTAATGTGTGGGACTGAAGGTAATTTAATTGTCAAAGGTGGAGATTTATATAAGGATAAAGACGAAGTATTGTATTTAGATGTGGAAGACTTACAAAAGTCAGATGCAATAAATGTGGTTTCTGCAGATATCATGCCTAGACCTTGTATGAAAGGTTTGTTAAAAATGATAAGTGCTTTACGAGAGGCATTTTTACCAGTTGAAGATAAAAGAGGTTGGATAAAAGAACCTGTTTCGTCTGCAGCCACTTTTGAAGACAGCTTATATGTTCAAGCAGTGATTGATGCAATACGATCATCTAGTATAAACAAAGAATGGGTAAAAGTTGAAGTAATAACAGAAGAACCAGATCCAAATCCTTTACTGAGTGCTGCTGTAAGAAAAAGTGGCATGTCTATGTAATTTATAAAAATATAAACATATTATTTGATTTCTTTATTGGCATTTTTACTTAAATTTAACAGATTTTTATTGTATACATTTTATAATAAAAATATAACTAATCTTTTTAACAAGATCTCATTTTTATTAAAACATTTTGTAAATAATAATTTTAAAATAAAATTGTACAAATAAAAAAATAGAAGTAATTATTGGTCCATTTAATAAAATATAATTAAATCTGTTTACTTTACTGCAGGAGTAGGATTTGATTGAATTTCGGATATATAACTGAAACAAAAAGGTAAATTAAGTTACAATTTAACCATTTTAACATTCAACGTTATGGTTAAGGTTATCCAAATCATTCATCTTTCATTTTTAAATAATTTTTTAAGAAAAATTTACCAAAAAATAACCATAATTTTGTTAAAACTGGTACACATTCTAATTATTTTTAATTCTTTTATTACTTCTATTTATAATAACTACAGAAAAATTAAAAATTCTCATAAGGTACAATCTATGTTTCTAAGTTTAATATTCAATCCAAAAAAGTGATTCATACGATTGTAAAGCTACTTTAGCAATAAAACATTTTTTATCAGTTTTTTTAGCTTACCTATAACTAATCAATAATGTATTTTTATTGTTTATATAAACAAGCAATTTGTAGATTTTTTTAATAATTTATTGCTATAAATGTCATTAAATAGTTGTGATTAAATTAGGTTTAGTATGAATTTTAATTATAAAAACATTAAAAATATTAGTAAGTATTGTATTTATTGTAAAATGTCATACTTAGTCATTTCTTTAATCTGTTTATCGATTTCTTCCTCAATTTCTTCCAATGCTTTTTCACAGCTCATCAAATCATTATACTTTTTATCTAATGCTGTTATTGTTTGTTCTAATTCATCCACATTATCGACCAGCTTTTGAGCTGTTTCTTGTGTATCATTCTTTATTACTTCAGTCCCAATAGATTCTAATAAGACCTTGGCGTCATCTTAGAAAGAATTTCCAGATAATTAACTATATATCTCGATTTTGATATTAAGATACATGATAAACAATATTTTACCTGTCAACAGTGGAGCTTCTGTTTCATCTATTGTTTTTAAATCTTCTTCGATCTCTTCTTCAACTGGGACTGTAGGACATTGTGGTATAGGAGGTTTCTTATTATTCATCATATTTATTTTTTTTTACGGTATCACTTCGTTAGTTACGTATTGTAACATTCTATACATGGTATGATGTGATATTCATGAGTCAGTTATTATTAGGGTATAATATTATATTTTATACATATAATTTTAAATTTTTGGCAAAAATTAATGAATCTCACTAGTTACTAATATTAAAATATATCATTTAAAAGCCATATAAATATATTATAAAATAAACTTAGTTATTATTTAGATTTAAATTGAATGTAATAAATTATTATGAATTTAACTCACTTATAGTAACTACTTCTCAATGATAAACTTCACCTTTAGGAGTAGTTTGAACAATTTGCACTCTGCAAAGGAATTACTGCCTTTATTTAAAAATCACTTCTGTACAAAAAATTTCTTTTATAATAAAATTTTCTATGTAAACAATTATTATTTTAACTAAGTTCAAAAATATTTTTTAAATATAATATTTTCTTTATTCTCATTAAATAAAAATAAATAATAATAAATTTATTAAATTATTATTTAGTTATATAAATAATTTTAATGTTGATTATTTATTTGAAATTGAAAATTTAAGAAAATATTAAACATTTTATTCAAGAACAAAATAAATATTAAATACAATGCTAATTATAAAAGTCGTCATACAACTGCATAGTTTGCAATCCTTAATCTGCCCTAGTGTAAGAGTTGTCAAATTGATTATTAGTGACTATGTTAAATTTGAATTCAAATTGTACTTAATTAAGAAAATGATTCTGAAATAATCAGAATGGATACGACTTCTAAATTATGAATAAATCTATTTCATACGACAAAAATGTTGTAAATTTAAGTGATTTTAGAAATTTGTTAAATGAACTTTAAATGAATTAAAACGAATTGCACATACTTACGTATCATAAAGTTTTTGATACTTAATTATTATAACGATTTTTAAAGCCTTGTATTAAATTTCAAGCTTTTGATCAAGCTAATTTTTATCAATAAATGAAACGAATCAAAAATTGATACGTCTTTAAACAACTTAACAATGACTAATGAGTCAAAAATATGGTTATCGTGTATAGAAAAGTATCTGCATTAGTGCATTACATTACACGATCTTAAAGATCTTCAAGACGACCGTAATATATCATAGAACAGTGGCGGATCAGGCTTAATTTTGCAGGGGCAAAATTCCAAACCATTTACAACATATAAACAATATCTCACAAATTTATATTTTATAGTACATTTTCAAAACAAAGTTTAATCGTAAGATTTTATAGTATTTATTGAACGTTGTGTCGACAGTCTAGTCGATATTCATCAGAAAAATGATAAAAACTTAATAATTATTGCTATTATTAGACTGGCGGGAAATTTTTAGAATTGTAATATTTTACGATGTAACTGTAACTCAAAATATGAATATCTATGACATAAAATATAGGAAATTTGGGTTTGTTGGGGGTGGTCAATGGGCCATTTGCCCCCTGATCCGCACACTGAGGTTAAATGGTTTCGAGATAAATATCTAATGATTCTGATACAAGCACGCCGCACGGCTATAGTAGTATACTCTATGCTATATATAAATAGCCGTGGTCTGAGATAATATTCAAGGTTTATTTGTAGATAACACTATCTTTAATCATGCAAAATAATAAAATTGTATTTGTTATTTTATTAATCACTGTACATTATTGAATTTTCTTACTTCGTAGTTGAATATAGTATAATGTTATTATACCGTATTGTTGTATTCGAGTCATCTTAGAGTTGTGATTGATCGTATTGTACAATAAAATCATTATATTTAATTATGAAATACGATAATATCAAATATCAGTTTTTATGATGATCTACATTAAATGACATTTTAGGCATAGAATATATTAAGTCGTAAATGCTTTTGTAGAAAAATACAAAATTTTTTTTTTACTTCTTCAAGATTGAGTGAAAAAGAAGTCTTAAAAAAAATAAATATGATGAATAATAAGAAACCTCCTATACCACAATGTCCTACAGTCCCAGTTGAAGAAGAGATCGAAGAAGATTTAAAAACAAT